AACCGATTGTAACCGATCATCGGTTACTTGGGTCCAACCGATGATCGATTACGAAATTACAACCGATTGACAACACTAGAATATACGCACGGCTATGGGCGGTAAGAAAGTGCACAATTAAACTATCATATGGCGCGAACGATTTGAGGTACATTTCTAGAAATCTAGATACACATAGACACATGTCTTAGCTATAATCTCTGTGAATTTTGAGTTTATTGAAGCACGATTAGTCTAATTAATTACTATGGACCATTGTACAGCGTATCCATACAGCGCTGTACTTAAGCGGCAGCAGGGTGAATCCATTTGGAAACAATATGGCGTCAAATCCTGGGTTGTCGCAACTCTCTATATATAGGGGACTCTAATTCTCGGTAGCTTCTCTCTTCAGTTAAGGTTTAATTCTCTGGGGGTTTTTCTCGCCACAGTGCACGTGCAGCAAGGACATGGTTAGGATCAGCATGGACACGTTTGTGAAGCGGTACCAGCCCGATCGTTACGAGCTGTGGAAGGCTGGCAAGGACATCGCCGCTCACCCCGAGGACCCGCACCAGTACAGACCGCGCGTCAGGGTGGAGAAGGACGACAGCAGGTATCCCGCGCTGAGCCGTTAGTTAATTAGCAATCAATCGACTCATCAAACTAATGGACCGTATTCATTAGAGCGAGATGACCAGGTCTTGGATGCTTGGATATTGCTGCTGGGTTAGTCTAGCAGACCAGTTTATACATGTCTTTTGTGTGTGTACGCCAAGTTGTCAACGTTTGCAACACTTTGTAGCTAAGCAGCGTTTTCGGAAGGCCGTTATCACAAAGCTGATTTTGCTGGAGGTACCTGTCAATAAAGCCAGGCGGATAGGTTAGCTGATGAGAGTTTTATCGAAATCGCTCGATCGATGTTATGCGTAACTGTTGGAGTTCGTGGAAGGGGTCGAGTTATTTCAAGTGCCAACACCAGCAGAATGCAATGTAATTTATAGCTCTTTATTGTGCAAGCTGTTCCACCAGAGTCGACATAATCATTAAAAAGATAAGTCAATGTCGCTGGAACGTCGGTAGCGAGTTACTATCGTGTCGATTCCAGAACATCTGTGGAAGCAGCTTTGTACTGACTGCAGACTCGACGTGATGGCTACGAAATATGTATCAAGTGAAACATTGACATTTACTATAACGCAGCTTACAGTAGAATTAACACTATTACTTACTTGCAGCCAGACAGTTGTTAAGAGGGAGCCACCGGCAGAGTTGACGCTTGCGGCTGCTACTGTTGGGATCCAGGCTACGTGTGAGATGATTGTTAAGCTGGAGCCTTTGGCAGTGTTGCCATCATCAACCATAACTAGCCAGCCTCCGACGATCACGACGACTCAGCCAGCGACTGTTGCTGCCAGCAGCATACAGGTTACACATGCCCAGGTATGAATTGTATTTAAGTTAGATCTAACGTGATTTTTTATAAATTTTCCTGCACTGTTGTAATTGCTATTAGCATTTGGACGGCAAGTGATTTTTTCGCACTCTGGATTAGTAACAAATTTGATTGTCACTTAATAAGAGACCAATTTGACGGATATTGTTGTAGTATTTTGTAACCAATTTAATAATTTCAGCATTGTATTAGTGACTAATTGTATGAACACTGCTTTTTTATTAGACAAAAATTAAACTGATATCATTGGAGCGTGTGAAATTAGGCAAGGTGGTTTTTCACGCTGTAAAATCTGAATGATGAAAACAATAATTACAATCGATCGAATCGTAACTTGGTTGATATCGGGATGAAACAATGTTAATTGTAATGCTGCACAGGAGGAGAACGGACATCGGACTGCGGAGATCCCGCGTGTATCAGCGAGCATCATGGAGAGGCTTCTCGCTGCCGGCCCGGCGATGCAGGTTACCGCGGTAACGGGGGCCGCGTGGTCGCCCACCACCGCCGCCAGAACGTGTCCGTACGCGCGCAAGCCCCCTGCGGTGTGCGGCCGGGACGCGCCCACGGTCGTCAGCACCTCCCCCACGGCCCAGCCCACGCTACACGCTTTCCCCCTGGCCTACCCCCTCGCTATAAACTCCCTGTCGCCAACGGCGAACCACGCGGGTCCAAGTAGCGCCCCCTATGACGACGTCAACGGCGGAACCAGGGCGCCCTCTGTGGGCGTGAACGTCGGAGTGGGCACGACTTGTGCGCAGCCGGATGGAAGGGTGGCAGGTGGCGCCACCGTGAAACACGAGCTGGCGGAGCAGCACATCGTTGTCGGAGCGCAGGTCGAGGTGAGTTACCATGTCAACTGTCATTGGCATGGCAATGTCGTTTGCGGTCGTCAACCGGTGCGGTAATAAAGAATTAAAGACAATGCGTGAGTGGAATTTGAACTTTGCGGTTGTTGAGTAGATTCAAGTTGATACGTCAGTGTTGTGTGTTGCCAGCATTTTTTTACTGGCGATAGCGCCTCGTTAGAATGACCTAGATAGACCTCGGCAATAATGTTCGTTAGCGCAGCAGCAGTATTTCAATGACAACAAACTCTCTCAACCAGGGAAAAAAATATAATTTATTTTTCGGGGGCTACTTTTCAAGCTCGCATGGATGAAAATAGCACTCTAAAATTTGGTTTGCATTGAACTCTATGCAAATTTACGGGGGCTCTTTTTGGCATTTCGGGGGCTAAATCGCCCCGAGCCCCCGTGTATTTTTTTCACTGCCGTCAACACCACATACATTATCATCCAAGTTTCACAGTTTTGCATTGTGTACCACTGGGAGAACTTGTCATTTATATTATATAATTTATCTACTAATATAAACTATTTGTATATAACTTATATTACGTCTCGACACTTATGATGAATGGCATGAAACCTGACGCGTCCACGGAACAATTTTCTTGCAGGTTCACTCTGAGGTCGATAACAGGGAGAGGAAGGAGGGAGAGCGCGTCACGACACACGACGCACGCGTCAAGGAAACGATGCCAAAGATCATCCGACATGAACTTGTGCTTTCCTCCGAGCACAACCAGGAGATAGAGCCACCGCAGCTGTCTCCGGCCTACGCGCCGGCGTTCGAGGTAGTGCTGCCGATCTAGCTGGTCGCGTTCTAGTTCGTGTGCTGGATCGAAGCCGCTTGCTTGTAACACTTGCTTGTTGATATTGTTATCTGGATTTCATATTCGGTGTATTAGTATTGACGCTACGTGTTAGTAGTACTGACACTAGGTGCAGTGGTGTTTGGTTAAACCATTAAGAGCTATTGTTCAGTTCTTATGTATGTGCCTGTTTACACCATGTGACAAACGCGCGCTTTTCCTTATTACAAAATTCACATCTGAGTGTCAGATACTTCGCTAATAATTCTTAGTTCTTCTAATTAGCAATTCTTACTAAAACAAAATTGAGTACCTATAGTAACTGTTGAGGACCTATCTTACCATTGGCAACGTTCTTGTATTTTCTCGTGCGCTGCGCAGGTGGCATACGGTGACGGTCTGCCGTCGAGCGTCATGGCAACGGAGAATGACGACGAAGACGATTATTCCACGGCCGGTCCCGCCTCCAACGTCGCCATGTTTCACCCGTACTCGTTCGCACCCTCCGCGTCGCCCCCGGCAACCCATCAGCAGCAGCAGCAGCAGACGTACGATTCCCTGAGCGGCGGCAGCGGGAGCAGCCATCCGGGGCTGGATCTGATCACGCGCGTTGCAGACGACATCCTCAACGGGAAGCAGATCGTCGCTCCGAGCGGCGCGTCGCTCGTGCCGGAGCTAGTCGTCGTGCGCGGCGAGCGCCCGGGCGACGCCGGCGCCCCCACGCTGTCGAGCGTCAACTGGCAGCAGCTGCTGAGCGCGGAGATGGGGCGGAGAGGCCAGGAGAAGAAGAAGGCAAGGCGACATCCGATACACAAGGTCCACAGGAATCTAGAAGCGGTCTCTAGTGGCGAAGAAGGTAAACGTCGGCGTGATTGTGGGTTTTAGGAATGCTGGTGTTTGATCACTTATCTGTCTTACGACTGCATATAGAGAACACTGTATACATTATACCAACTACCTACTACCAGTACCTACTTCAAGCAGCTGTAACTAGGAAGATCAATCTGGGGGGCCATTGTCAAAAACAAAATAAGGCTTAACATTAGTCGTAACGTTAACTTTTTCTCGTAGACCATTGACAGAAACATTGTAAAGTCACGAGAATTGAAAATCCTATAGAATTTTCTCATAACTTTATAAAAACAAAATTCTGTCATTGATCTACGAGAAACGGTTCATGTTAAGACTAATTTTGTTTCTGACAATGGTGCCCTGAACCCTGAACTAATTTGAACCGTTCTCAACGAATTGAGCAACGTTTTCATCATTGAAGATTCACGCAGGTCTTTAAAATTTAAAGATTTTAAATGCATCTGTACTTCACTAGCAAATTACACAGTTCTGTTGTGTCTTCACTTGAATCGCAAACTTAACTACCCTTCTCGGAGTAACTTAACTTATCTTAACCTAACTTCTCGGAGTAACTTAACTTAACTTCTCGGAGTAACTTAACTTAATTTCTCGAAGTCGTATAACGCATTCATTGTTGTCGTCGTCGTCGTCATCGTCATCTCACTGTGTCTCTCGCCTGCAGACATACCCGAGGAGCAGCTGATGCCAGGCTGGGCGTTGGAGTTGAATCGGCTGTGGCAGAGCAAGCCGGTCGCGATCGATGCAGAGCGAGAGTACAACGCAGCGATGAGCCTGCTAGAGCCACACTGCGCCATCTGTCAGCTACTCAAGGTGCCCGAGGTACGAGCGCGTGCGCGTGGGGCGTGTGTACGTGTGCGTGTGTACGTGCGTGTGTGCGTGTGTACGTGTGTGTGTGTGTGTGTCCGTCCGTGCGTGCATGAGTGTGCGTGCGTGCATCTGTGCGTGCAAGTGTGTATGTATGCGAGATACGTTCGTGCGTGCGTGATGCATGTGTGATGCGTGCGTGACTCGTGTGTGACTGTGACTCTGACACGTCATTGTTGGTCCTTGAGTCACACACACGTCTATCTCTCTCGTCATTGGTGGAGGTCACGTTGCAGGTCGGGGAGGAGCGGCGCGGCAAGTCGCCGAGGAAGAGCGTTCCGCGGCTGGAGGCGATGCCGGCGCGGTCGTCGCCGTGGGTTCCCGAATTCTGCTTCAGCCCGACGTCGATGGCCGACGACGCGGCGCTGTCCGTGCTGCCACCTATGAGTCACGAGACGCTGAGTCGACTGCTGGTCTGCTCGCGGTGCCGCGTCTGCGTCCACGCTCGTACGTACATCTGACGTTTGCACGTCGCGACCACCAGAGGGCGGGGCTGCGGCGGTTGGGGGGGGGAAGGGTTCTGGGGTAGCGGAGCCCCCTTCCCTGTTTTCGCACAGGTTTTACTTTTACAACTGGTGACACATTAAGCTAAAAAATAATCAGCCGTCGTTTTCGTTAGGGTTACACGCATAGCTATCATCAGTTTGCATGAGTTCGTTAAGTGTGTCGCACGTCGTTAGATACTCGCGCATCGTTAAGATACTCACGCGTCGTTACTTCTCCTATTAGTCGCGCGGCACCATCGTCCTTAGTTGTACGTAGATGTTAGTGTGTAAGGTCACTAGGCAATTGCCAGTCTCGAAGCATATCGCCGCCACAAAACTGCGGCGGTGCGTTGTGACGCGGTGTCGCGCGGCACAGATGCACGACTGAGGCTGGTGTGTTGCGTGCGCAGGTTGCTACGGTGTTGCTGAGACAGAGGATGCAGAACCATGGAACTGTCGGAGGTGTGAGCAGGAGCAGCTACCCGCAGTGAGTCTAACCAACCATTAGCGTGCTTGCTTGCGTGCGTGCGTGTGCGTGAGTTTGCGTGTGCGTCTGTGCCTGCGTGTGTGTGTGTGTGCGTGCATGTTTGGGTACTGGCAGGGTTAATGAATCATCCACAAGTTAGTTTAGTGGTTAGTAGTTAGTCTGTGATGAGCAGAATGACAGTGGCAAGTTTTAGTAATTTTACTACATAATCGTAGTTTCATAGTTGGTCACGCGCACATTGACAGATATACGCACAAGTGCAACCGAGTTGGCGTGCATACATTCGCATGGCGCGTTACTAGGTTGCGCGTGTCTCACGAGCGTGCTTGTGTTTTTGCGGTCGCAGGAATGTTGCCTGTGTTCGCTGCGAGGAGGCGCTCTGAAGCCGACAACGGGCGGAGGCTGGGCACACATTGTCTGTGCGCTCGTCATTCCTGAGGTCGGGTTCGTCGATGCGGACAAACGCGAACCAATCAGCGTCACAAGGATCACACCGGCAAGGTTGCGATTGGTGAGCACACAATGCGGTCGTCGTATTAAATCTTGTGATAATTGATAACGATGATGAATTACTCATTGACTCATCCCGTCTGTCCGAGCGATATAGCCACGCCCCGATGGATGCTGTTGCTATGTTGGCCGGCTTTAGCATCTATTGCGTATCGTGTTCGTTAGGGTGACGTACCCGTATAGAATGACACCCTGTCCATGAAGCACACGGCTCCCTCCTTGGATGTTGTTGCAGGTCGGTCGGTGTTAGAGACGAGTTTGTATGCGTTTTTTAATGAGCGCGCGTGGTTGCATTGTCGACTTTGCGGCACTTTGTTACTAGGCAGCGTTTTTAGAATGTCCCTGTTGCAACACAGAAGTGCATGTACCACGTAGTCGATTGTCGTACACGATTTCGAGTGTCTATCTCACTCGTATTCGTCACATTATTTGCTGAAATTTTCACGTATATTGTTGCATGGATCTCGCACATGCTTCATGCATATGCTCCCACGTGCCTCTCACGCGTGATCGTGTCTCCTCGTCGTGTTTGCAGAAGTGCACGTTCTGCTACGCGTGGATGAAGTACAAGCAGCCGGCGTCGCAGGCGTGCATCCAATGCTCCGCCGGCAAGTGCTCCATGTCGTTCCACGTGACGTGCGCTGTCGCCGCCGGCATCCTGTTCGAGAACTGCGATTGGCCGTTCCTGATCTACGTCGCGTGTCCACGTCATCTCGTCAACAAGGAGAAGAGCGTGAAACCGGTGAGTCGATGATGACGACGACGGTGACGTGATCGCGTGGGTGGTGATGAGATGTGTGGAGTGATGTCGGTGCCCGTGAGGTTCAATGGCATTAGCTCGTGCCACGTCCAGGTCGCCAGTTAACTATTCACTACTAGTTATGTAATTATATGATAATAAAGTAATAAATAAATATGTATATAATAATAATATATATACATTAATATAACAGACTCTTATAGACTGACTATTCTAGATAAATAGTTTGTGCTATCTAATGATCATCTGTGTCTATGTCCCTGCAACGCTGAGCTCTACCATCTGTGAGCTCGCGCCGCGTTCTGTACGAGTGTTGCCACCTGACGGTGAAGAATGTTTGCAGATCTCTGCGCGGCAGAATTCTGAGGTCGACGAGGGTGAGCAGATGATCGCGAAACACAAGAACGGTCGTTACTACCGCTGCGTCGTCATCAGCGTGAAGAAGCAGGTTTTCTACGAGGCTGACTTTCTGGATGGATCGTACAGCGAGAACCTGTTCCCTCAGGACGTTGTGGTGAGCGGGAGAGCCCTCCTAACCTATCCAACGAGTAGTCACACTGGAAACAGCAGTAGTAGTAGTAGCAGCAGCAGCAGTAATTGTAGCAGTAGTAGCAGCATTACCAGCAGCAGCAGCAGCAGCAGTGATAGCAGGAGCAGCAGCAGTAGTAGTAGCAGTAGCGATAGCGGCAGTATTAGTAGTGGTATTGATGTCTAATAGTAGTTCACGTACAACTTTCGATTGTGTTCAATTTTGTATTATTGTATCCCCCGCGACGAAGTCAGCGGGGATACTATGGTTTCATGTCTGTCCAGCTGCCGCTTGCCGCCGCCACCGCCGCCGCAGACACTTTCCCTTCTGCTCTATAACTCGACCCTTAATTGACCTAGCACGACCAAACATGGTATACTTACACATCTTGGGGAGAAAGTGTGTCACGTACCAAAACCAGGAGATATTTCATTCATACTAGATTGCGGGGGGATACATGTGGTTGGCGTCAACTGCCATTTCTAGTTCTTCACCGCCGTCATAGCCAAAGAATATGAAATGCTGTAATATCTCTGCTGTTACGTCTCTGATTATAATCTTCTGCACTGTCTTTCAGTCGCACGACTGTCTTAAGAACGGGCCCCCACCCATGGACGGGCCGTGTCGAATAAAGTGGACAGACGGAAAGGTTTACGATGCGATATTCAAGGCCACACATGATCATACGATGTGTTTGGTGAGTACGCTCAGCTGAATCTCCTAGATGTAGCTACACAGGTATTGATTTGTTTTTGTAGGGATTTGAACTGGTCAGGATACAGACTTGTAGGGGTGATGCTGCTCGTTTGTCTTCATGTAGACATTCTAACACGTTACTGATGTTGTCACGATCACAATGTCACGGGCAGAAACGTGATTTCGATCGCGAAAGTCTAATGAACTCTCTGCTGTCCTCAAAAAGTGAAAAAAGTCCACAGAGAAACAAGGGAATCTGTTGTCTGAAGACAGGTTTAAAGCTATCTATGCCAATAACACGTAAATGATAACTGCAAAAATTACGTGAATTATGGTTACATCTGCTATAAATGATTGCAGAATGTTGTGTTGAAACACTGATAGCGTTACTGCATTCAGTGTTATTGGCGTTTGTTGTTATGCACTGTAGAGTCGGTGCACTAAAGCTAATCGTGATAATGTCAACTTTGCCATCGTGTACACCAGGTTGAATTTGAGGACGGTTCTGAGCTGACAGTGAAGCGAGGCGTTCTCTACACGCTGGGCGAATCGTTGCCGAAGAAAGTGAAATCTCGACTGGTGAGTGTTTTTCTCCACTTTATGTCTGCTTTATCTGACAGCTAGACCCGTCCGTCTGAGTGAGACAACTACGTCCTTCTTTTAGATATTTTTGCTAAGTTAGTCAAGCGAGACCAGTCTGTACGTGGTTTTCACGAACGCACGCCAAATTGTCGACTATGCGACGCTTCGCTGCCAAGCATTGTCTTTTAGAATGTCCTATCACAGCAATGATTGGCAAGAGCTACCTGGCAATCACGCCAGGTGGACGGAATAATTAATATGTGTGGACTACGTGTCACAAACTTATCATTCGTACGTCGTCACTTTCCCATAAATTGATCATTCATTCTCGCCATTACCCAACTCGTTCAAGTGTTGTGAAACGATTTCATCATGTACACATAAAACTCATCTATGATCCATAGCTTACGTTGTGCCGAATGCTTACTGTCCTCACTGTTATAATGTTGCAGTCGTTGGCTACCGACAGACGACGTACTTACCGTCCTCACTGTTGTAATGTTGCAGTCGTTGGCTACCGACAGACGACGTACTTACCGTCCTCACTGTTGTAATGTTGCAGTCGTTGGCTACCGACAGACGACGTACTTACCGTCCTCACTGTTGTAATGTTGCAGTCGTTGGCTACCGACAGACGACACGACGACATGTTTAAAGACTGCAGCAAGCCATCGACTAGCAAGCGTCAGCGGATAGCAAACACAAAATACAACAATCCGAAATTGCTAGGCATGCAATAGAGGGCGCCACCGCGCGGCTTCAGCTGGAGCGGTCGCGGGGAGGGAGCTCAAGCGAGCGATCGCCAATGGAGAGCTGGAGCATTGACTGGAGTCGTCGATGGGGGAGAGCTAACATATGTACCTTAACGGCTGTCCTTGGCTAGGGTGGCGGCGGAGTGAGAACGATGGACCCTGGTCTTGCTCCCAGGCACGGTGTCTACTGTCACACCAACCTACCATTGGTCAGCGTCCTGCTACAGTTGATCAATGATGCTACAGCAGTGGAGAGCGTCCCGCTGTGGGTATTATCGAAATCTAGTTCCCGATCAGTTGTTGTTAACGAGCGTTGCGTCATCTAAGAACTTCACGTCTTTTTTTTGGTCCCCCGTTCGCGACGAAATCCGACGTTAATTTCCCACGTGTACCGCGCAACAACGTTAATGCCTCTCGCTCGGTTTGTATACAATAGGCGGTGTAACTCTACGCTCGTTCTTGTGTTTTTGCGGCTTTCCCTTCGACAATGGGGTTCCTTGCACCACCCGCCCGCCACCCGTGCGGGCCACCACGCGTTCCGGTACTGTGTACTACTGGTTCTTGCGGTTCGGTCTGATCCCTGCCGCGGCGTGGAAGCACTCGGAGTGGATACGGGAGCTCTACGCTTACTTTGACGCCGTCGCTGCGTGCTGCGGGAGAGCGGCGAGGGAGGGAGATAAACGGGTGTTCTGATTGGCAGGTCTGATTGTCTACATGTGGTGACAAACCACCGTGTGCTATGTGTGAGTGTGTGTGTGTGTGTGTGTGTGAGCATGTGCGTGTGACTTTGTTCACTGATTTTGATCATCGTTTCTCAGTCGTTTCGTAGAGGATTTTCTAGAAGTGATTTTCATTTACATCCACATAAGAAGCGATGACAGGTCAGTTGAGGTCATGTGAAGGTGACACAAAGTTCAGTGGAGGTCGCATGAATGTCAGTGGAGGTCACGCAAAGGTCAGTGGATGTCACGCGAAGATGATGATGTGAATTATTACATGTATTATTGTAATTTCATGATAATATAGATATATATAGACAGAGGTAGAGATCATTTTTGACTCTCTTACCGATTGTATTATATTCTTATTGTTCTGCTATATTACAGGTCTGTAGAAATGGCGTTTCAATGCAGACCTTTCTTTGTTTGTCTAGGTTTCTATGTACTGTAAACGTGCAAAGTTATACGTTTTTTTGTGGGACGTTGTTGTTTCGAACTATTGTGCTTGTGTTTGTCTTACTACATGAGCAAGTACGTAACATTCAGTGTTGTTTGGGGTGAAATCTAGCGGACGTTTGGGAAGTAGTCGTAGCGAATGTTCTTGTGTTTCTGACAAATCCCATTTGGAATATGGAGGGTGTTGTTGTATATTTTGAAATTAGTTTGCAATTATAATAGATTACCAAAATAAAAAGCGCCAATACCATGTAGTTTTTAGTTGTCAACGGGAAGAGAAATGTTTACCAAGTAAGCTGACTATATTTATTATTGTAAGCTGTACATGTTGCTGAACCCTATGGAGATGAAAGCACAGCATAGAATCATGAACATGTGTATGCTAGGATGGTGATGTTCATGGTATAATCATGCACCAGTGAATACTAGATAGTTAGGCATAGGTTCATGGTGTAAGACTATCTCGAGTCGCGTAAAAACTCATCCGTTTTTATTCGCTCCCGATACTATCTGTGTTTCGTGAGAAAGATTTTAATATATTTGACAATGAGCGTGTAACCCGCTGTTATATTTACACAGAGGGAAACATGTACACGAGACTTGAAAACATATGAACTACATTTTTTTTCGCTAGTACATAAAATGTATAGTAATAACGAATTGCAATTTGCAAGTAGCAGGTGTGTTACAATGCGCCGCGGATGGCAAATTACCTCGCATTGATATATAATCTTTCTTGTTCTTGCTACATTACTTGTGTTAACTTTTGATTGTGTTTGTCGCACGTTTGGCAAAAAAGAAAAATCGCGGTGCAAGTCGCGCGTAGCAACTGTTTGTTGCCGATCGAAGTTTAGGGAGAAAAAAAAAACAAGTCTAATTTTCTTGTATTTTACTTATTAGTTGTTGAAGGCTTATGTTCGATTTCGTTCAGCTGTGTTAGCGGTGTGTTTGTGTTTCGTTTGGAAGCTACTGCGTCTTCCTCTAGATCTCAGCTCATAGCAGAGAGCCTGTAGTAATGATGGTTGTTATGGGGTCTTTATTCCTCCTTGAATAATGAAAGTAAATCAATAGATTTTCGTTCGATATGCGTCTATTGAATGTCAATCGATTGATACTGTAACACATTCACATCCTTATCTTCTCCGATGTTCACTCGTTTCTCCCAGCGTGTACGTACGTAGCTTGGTCGTTTGTAAGTGTGGAATAGCACAGGAGCCATTACGAGTTGTCATACTGGTATAGCCACATGTAAAACCGGGGGAACATGTGCATACTCTAGTTATACCTACACATGTACGGTGTACAGCCTACCACCATTGACACTCCTTACATACATCCTCACTTCTCTCTGCAAATCTGATTATCATACCGACGGGATTTTCTAAACGGGAATATTGTGTATATATAAACTGTATATAAAGTCTGTGTGTGTGTGCGTGTAGAATATATGAAGGTGTGGAAGCAGCGGGAGTTGATTGCTAGTGCTGCTGAGAGGGTCCTCGCATGTCCCCCAGGGTACTGCCGAAACTGGTACTATCTAATATGCCGGACCGTACCTCGCCTACTCCACTAACGAGTCTAGGGAGTCGCCTACGCCTACTCCCTAACCCTAACCATATCAGATAGTGACCAGGGTACGTTCCGGTATACCGGACCGTACCCAGGTTACGTTCCGGCAGTACCATGGGGTACATAGACCCTATGAGCGCTAGTGCTACGTATGCGCCGATGCTGGCATGTAATATATCACTGGGAGCTGCTGCTGTGTGCAGCGCGTCATGGGCTTCGACCTGCATTAGCTATAAACTATTAGCGCGGATCTACGTGGCTGTAACGATGCTACGTGACGCAATAGTGAGATGTGAAATGTGTGGCCACCGACCGGCAAATGAAAGGGTATCGTTCATAAGAACATGAAGCTTTTCTTTACGTGGCTGTATGTAGGTGTCGTGTACGTGCTGTACGGGTACAGCTATCACGGTCATAGCAAGCAAGGTTGTATTGCAGAGTAGGTGCCGACTTCACGTTAGTCGTGATGAGTCGAGTCACATGTTAGACGTGAACGTAGGCGCGGGCGGGAGGCACGACTTGCTGGTGAGTGACTCGTTTTCACAGTGCGTAACACCGAGCTGACGTGATGCTGTTGTTATGGTATATATATATATATATATATATATATATATAACTTATAATACATGCATCAATCGTGCGATCCCCATAGGGTGTTACGCTGTTCTTGTATACCTGTTATTTACTCCTGGTCAGGTTGTGGGTGCACACGGCGTCTGACACCTTACTACTGCGATACAACCTGCATTCTGTATTAATTCGGATGATTATATGATTGTCCTCCAAAACCTAATTCACCGATTGGCGCAGTTAAAATTGTCTATGAATCTTGTTTTACACTGAGAGAGAGAGAGAGTGAGAAGTAAGACATATGAAGACACAAGAGACTTCTCACGAGAGACGAGAGAGCAGTAGAGCAGAGCATAGAGAGAGAAAATAAAGAGAGAGAGAGAGAGAGAGAGAGAGAGAGAGAGAGAGAGAGAGAGAGAAGAGAGAGAGAGAGAACCCTATCTACACTGTTGCAATGTTTGATCAGATGCATATCCTAACAGAGACGTTCATTCAAACAGCATCAACTGCAGTATTATTTGTACGTGTACATCCGCGTGCGTGCATGCGTGTGTGCAGGCGTGCGTGCGCGTGTGTGGGGAATCATTCACCATGTACATACGTGCAGCTCTAGTTATAGCTATGTAGCTTTTCACTGTCCAACATGAGCGAATTTTGATGGTCGAGTGAATGTCTACAGCACAGCGTACAGTTCACGCCTTACTGTTATTGCCGGTCATTCGATTTATAAGTCATCTCACCAGCAAAACTCCCGTTCACTCGTTTCCTCAGTTAAGCCCGGGTACATGCTTGCGTATTATCACAGCTCGTGGTGGTGGTGCTGCTGCTGCTGCTGCTGTTGTTGTTGTTGTTGTTGTTGTTGCTGCTGCTGCTGCTGTTGCTGCTGCTGCTGCTGCTGTTGTTGCTGCTGCTGCTGCTGTTGCTGCTGCTGCTGCTGCTGCTGCTACATAGCGTGGTATTGGGTATGTTCCGTGTCAAGTAGCCATATATATATATATAAATATGTGTGTATGTGCATTGTTTGATATGTGTGGCTGCACTATGAAGAAGTGTATTCGGGACTTAGTAGTTTAAATTTAACATTGTGATTAGCATAAAGTGTGGTTAATAAATATTTTCTTGAAATTATGTCAGCATTGCGATTTTTGTGTAAATATGCAGTTGTGGTGACGAGAGAATTGTTATTGCGCCATAAGCACGGGAGATGATGCAACGTCGTAATAAGCGGCGTGTATTAATTACGGCTAGATAGAGGCGATACTGAACGGGTGGCGTTGGCGATAAGCCAGCGCGAAATATAGGAGGAGACGACGATCAGAGTCGGTGTGCTCGACGCAGCATGGGGGTAATAAGGGAAGTAATAAAGGACATATCATTACCCGCAGCTAACGTACCAACGTTCCCGGGAGCGCGGAAGCCATCCCCGGCGAAGCTGGACATGTACAGGTCGTGAGGTCGGACAACACGCGCGGCCGCATATAAGGGGGGGAGGTGGCACTGGGTGAACAAACCCGCTCATGTACGTTGCAACATAATATTATGCATTCAAATAAAGACGTCTATATCATATATAATACACACAACCTCTTCGATCATCACTGGCTACGATCACTGACCGACGAGTTAGAGTAACGATGAGATACCAGGTCTACACAGTTATCACAAACAAATTTTGTACTATGTGCGCGCTCTCTCTCTCTCTCTCTCTCTCTCTCTCTCTCTCTCTCTCTCTCTCTCTCTTTCTTTCTCTCTCTCTCTCTCTCTCTCTCTCTCTCTCTCTCTTATGTGCGCGCGCTCTCTCTCTCTCTCGCCTATCTCTCTCTCTCTTTCTCTTTCTCCCCGCCCTCTCTCTCTCTCTCGGGGGCTCTCTTCACTTTCTCTCTCTCTTCCCTTCTCTTCTCCCTCCCCCCTCTTCTCCCTTCACTTTCTCCCCCCCTCTCTCCCTCCTTCACATTATATATTGTAAAAGACATATATATATATATATTATATATATATTATTGTTAAATAGTATAGAATATGACCATCCGTCGCGCCAGTTCTGCTCGGCAGAAATAAATTTTAAGTGCGGGCGCCACTACAGCCATTGTTCAACATTTGGTGGCAACATCTTTTCTGCACTCGTAATCTTTTCCTTGCTATCTTCGCGGCTCTCTGTCCTCTCCCTCTCCCTCTTACCCTTTATCTCGCTTTCACTCTCTCTTCTCCTCCTCTCTCTTTCTCTCTCTTTTCTTTCTCTCTTTCTCTTTCCCCCTCTCCTCTCCTTCACATTATTTATATAATTTAAAGACAGCATATATATATATATATATATATATATATATTAGATATATTATATATTGTAACAAATGTCTATAATGCCACATACAACGCGCTCGCTGCTGTTGTGTGGTCACATACATAGAAGTACATGTTGATGCTGTAATTAAATATTAGGACACGGTTGCGCCATCTGTCGGGAGAAATAAATTATAAGCGCCACTACAGTATTGTAACATTGGTGCAACATCTTTCACTCGTAATCTTTTTCTTGCTATCTTGGGCTCTCTCTCTCTCTCTCTCTCTCTCTCTCTCTCTCTCTCTCTCTCTCTCTCTCTCTCTCCCTCACTTCCTCTGTTTCTTTTCCTCTGTTTCTCTCTGTGTGTCTCTGCTCTATCGCCCTCTCACCTCTCTCTCTCTTTTTCTCTCGCTCGCTCTCTCTCTCTCTCTCTCTCTCTCTCTCTCTTAATCTCGTTCTCCCCCCTCAATCTCTTTCTCCCCTCGCTCTCTCATTCACATTATATATATAGTGTAAAAACATATATATATATATAATTATATATATTGTAAAAATGAATATAATGCACATACACGCGCGTGTGTGGTTACATACATAGAAGTCCCTGTTGTTGCTGTGGTTAAATATGACATCGTTGCGCCATCTATCGGGAAAAATAAATTATTGAGGGCAAAATTTCGTGACTGCTAGCTAGGTAATGACATAGGAGGGGCGCAGTTTCCAATCAACGTGCATAGTGTGGGTAGGGATGTGGTGTGGGGGCAAGAGTTTTACGGATTCGTATTGTCGGCTTTTTGCGTATCATATTTCGGATTTATATTCGGAATAATTTTTATTTTTTAACATTCTAAGAGCAGCTGCCCCCTTCTGGGTTCCCCAGAAGCCACAGCCCCTCTTCACCATTAGACAGGTTTTGGTAAAATTACCTTACATTTCATTTTTGCATTTCTGATAAAGACGTTATTGTGTTTTTTGTTATAAAGTTTTATGTGAGGCTAAAGATATTTTAGTAAAACGAATGCGTAAACAATGTCTGTGTACAAACACACAACGTACGTAATCACAGTCGTACACATACGCCTTATCGCTTATTATTGCCTGACGTAATAAGTTTTTTGATATCTTTATTCGTATTACTATAATATTATTTCATTTCACTGTTACCTAAACTGCACTAATGTTGCAATGTTGTACCGATGCACTTTTAGATTATTTCTCCCGAGAGATGGCGCTAAAAGACCATATTTATCTATATAAAACATGTAGGCTTTTATGTATACGTGTATTACATTATGCGTATACTAGTATGCTTATATTACTTATATATACTTAGATATACCTACTATATAAATTATACACACGTGTGTACAGTGGATAGATAGATGAATAAATAAATAGGTAGTAGATGGATTGATGACATGAATAGAATGATGAAGCGATGGATGCGAGGAGGATGCCGCTATGGATGGATGGGATGATGGATGGATGGATGATGGATGGATGGATGGATGGATGGATGGGTGGGCTAGATTAGATGTAGATAGATAGAATAGATAGATAGGTAGATAGGTAGATAGGTAGCATAGGTAGATAGTGTAGCATATGGTAGATATGGTAGATAGGTAGATAGGCACTAGATAGGTAGATAGCTGTAAGATTATGGTAG